ACACACACACACACACACACACACACACACACACACACACACGCACGCACACACAGCCTGGCTCACTGCAGTCCCTTTGCCTGCAGTGTTTCCTTCTTCCTTATGCTCTCCCACCACACTGCTCCCCGACTGAAGACACCCTACAAACCCAAACTCCTCCTGAGGACAGCCCAGCAGTTCATACTCTGAGTAGAGCTTTGCCCTTCTGCCTCAGTGAGCTCTGGTAGTCTGGTCTCTCGAAGCCACGCAGGTGGCCAAACTGGACTGTAGACATGGGTGTGTGGCACCTGGTTTGGCTCCTTCCTGTGGCTCTAGGGTCCTAGACCTGTGCTGGGACACTGACTTGGGAGCTGTGAGGCGGCCATGATGTTTGTATTGAGGTCACTGACATCACTCACAGGTTAGTAATGAAACCAACAGATTTTTCCACAAATGGCCCTGAAAAAGTAAGGTGGGGGGGGGAGGGGCGAGGAAGATTGGTGAGGAGTCAGTAAAAAGATCCAAAAGTCAGGAAGACTTTCTGAATCCAAGCTTTAGGAGTGTGTAGAGGATCCATTCCACACTGGAAATGACCTGTGTACCCTTGTGACCTCTGCACCTCTGCTCAGGCTTTGTGTCTCATGAAGGACATCCTGAGAGCTGAGCGGAGGAGGAGCCGCGGAGGGCACCACAGGCACATGAAGTGAGCAGCAGAGCCTCTCCAATTAGCAGCAGCTCCTCTATTTTTGTTTCCTGGTCTCCGGTAAAACCTCCTCCCTCTTATAGTGGTTTTGGGGTGAAGTTTCTACAAAGTACTCAAAACAAATGAGTCAGTTTTCAGACTTGCTAGTGTTTGGGAGGACTTGGAGGAAATATTTTTAGTTGTATTTAGCAGCTTTCAGAATTGGAGTTTGCAGAGTTTTCTGTCCATATTCTGGGTGCCTCTGAAGCCAATACCAGTGATGGTGTGCTCTCTCATAGCACTCTCTCAGAGCACTGTGGGCTCTGTGGGCTGGATAAAAGAGGAGCCCTTGGTGCTGGAGAGATGGCTCGGTAGTTAAGAGCACTGGCTGCCCTTCCGGAGATCTTGATCAGTAATTCCCAGCAGCTACCTGGTAGCTCACAACCCTCTTCTGGCATGAAGTCGCACATGCAGATAGAGCACTCATATACATTAGATAGGTAGTAGGTAGAGAGAGAGATAGGTAGAGGAGTCCTCAGACATGTTCACCCCACTTGACCCCACCTCTTCCTCCTTAGCATTCCTCTGTCACCCTGAGCAGGCGCTACTTCCTCCTAGTCCATCTTGGTTGCTCAATGCTGAGCCTTCTGCCCCAGTCGTCTCCTCCACAATGTCATCATTGGACGTCCAGTTTTGTTTACTCTGCCTGGACGGTGGAGCCTTGGCCTGGCGGAATGAACTGTATAACACCAAGGCTGGGAGAGCTGGCACGTAGCCAAATTGCCAAAATAACGTGTAAAATGTTACTTAAATTTCACTGCTGTCAGTGTCGTGGTTCTGTGAAGTTTCACTGTGCTGTGCTGGTCTGGGAACACAGGAGGTCTTCCCATCTTCTAATGTCTTCAGTTCTTTCTGTGGTGTTGTGAAGTTTTCATTGGAGAGCTCTCTTACCCCCTTGGTTAGTTTAGTTGGTGTCGGCTTTTACATCCTCTGTTGTTGCTTTTTGCTTGTTCGTTTTTTGAAGCTATTGTGGCTAGATCTTTTCCTCCACTCTGTGTGTGTGGTGTGTGTATTGGTGTGCACATGTGGGTGTGCTTGCCTGTGTGTGCACACATGCACACCAGAGGTCGGCCTCTTGTGCCAGTATCTCTTACAGGACCTGGAGCCAACCCATGAGCTGGACTGGCTAAGCAGCGAACCTCAGGGTCAGCCTGCTTGTCTGTTGCACCCTAGCCCTGGGTTACAGGTGCGTGCTGCACCTGTAACTTACCTTCTCTGTCTTTCGTCTAGTTAGCTAAGTGTGTATGGATCATACATAGTTAACTTTTTTGCTGGGCGGTGGTGGCGCACACCTTTAATCCCAGCACTCAGGAGGCAGAGCCAAGCAGATCTCTGTGAGTTCGAGGCCAGCCTGGTGCCTGGTCTATAAAGCGAGTTCCAGGACAGCCAGGAGTGTTATACAGAGAAACCCTGTCTCAAAAAAAAAAAAAAAAAAAAAAAAACACCACACATACATAGTTAACTTTTCAAAGAAACAACTCTTTGTTTCTTTGGGTTTTTAATTTTTATTTTATTATAGTGTGTGTGTGTGTGTGTGTGTGTGTGTGTGTGTGTGTGTGTGTATACAGTGTGTGTGTGTACAGTGTGTGTGCCTTGTGCACCAATACAGGAACTGTAAGACAGTAGATAGAGGGTCTCTCACTAGATCTGGAGCTCATCATTTTTCAGCTAGGCTGGCAACCAGCAAGCCTCAGCAATCCTCCTGTCTTTACCCCATTAATACTGTGGTGTAGGCCTGCAAAGCCATGCTTCTTACATGGGCCCTGGGTTCCAAACTCAGGTCCTCATGCTTGCATAGAAGCATTCTTACCATACTGAGCCACCGCCCTACCCCAAAGGGTATTTTTTGAAGTATCTTCTCCCACATGGTCCCTGTATGGTTTAAATGTCCCCAGCTTGCCTGTTTGTGTGTGTTCTTACCTTTTAACAGTCTTTTCCTCCTTCCTGTAAGTAATGGTGCAGTGAAACCACCAAAACTCCATGGTTATAAAGAAAGGTTTACTGGGGACCAAACCGCCAAGATCTTGCAGGGGAGAGCAAGATGTCGGGAAAGCAGATTTTATATGACAGTCAGCAGGGTGGGTCTTTGTGCTAATGGAGGTTGTTCCAATTGACTAGATGCCCTTGCCAAAGATAAATAAGCTTTGGGGCAGTTTAAGAAGGATCCCTCAGATTAGGGGAGATTCCTGATGACTTAAAGGAGGCTCCCTCCTAGTAAACAGAAACCCCTTAAGGTTTCCACTTATCCAGTAACAATCCTTCTGTTTAGGACAAAGCTCCACTGTGGGAGGAGGCCAGCTTTGGACCTAACACTTCCCTCCCTCCCTCCCTTCCTTCCTTTTGTTGTTTGCTCTTTGGTAGTGCTGAGGATTGATTTGAGAGTGCTCATATATGCTAGGCAAGTACTGTCCACTGAGCCATATCCCCAGGTCTCAGCTCATGGGTTTTTGTTGTTGTTTTGGTTTGTTGGTTTGTTTGTTTGTTTGTTTTTTCTAGACAGGGATTCTCTGTGTAGTTTTGATGCCTGTCCTAGATCTCACTCTGTAGACAAGGCTGGCCTTGAACTCACAGAGATCCGCCTGGCTCTGCCTCCCGAGTGCTGGGATTAAAGGCATGCACCACCACCGCCCGGCTGTTATTGTTTTTTAAACAGGGTTTCTCTGTATAGGCCTGATTGTCCTGGAACTCGCTTTGTAGACCCAGTCTGACCTTGAACTCAGAGACACCTGCTTCTGCTTCAGAGGATTAAAGGAGTGTGCCATCACTAATATCATGTTTTTGTTGATTGTTGGTTGTTTGTTTTGAGATAGGATCTTGCTAAGGGCTTAGTAACCCAGGTGGCTTTGAACTTGTGACCTCTTGCCTCAACCTTCTAAGTTGCTGGGACTGCTGTCCTGTGCTGAGGGGCCTAGCTTTAGTGCTTTTTGTAGCAGACACTTTCTTTTCTTTTCTTTTTTAAAGATTTATTTTATTATGTATACAGTGTTCTGCCTGCAGGCCAGAAGAGGGCACCAGATCCCATTACAGATGGTTGTGAGCCACCATGTGGTTGCTGGGAATTGAACTCAGGACCTCTGGAAGAGCAGCCAGTGTTCTTAACCACTGAGCCTGAGCCATCTCTCCAGCCCCAGACACTTTCTTTTTTTTTTTTTTTTTTTTCCTGGAACTCACTTGGTAGTCCAGGCCAGCCTTGAACTCACAGAGATCCGCCTGCCTCTGCCTCCCGAGTGCTGGGATTAAAGGCGTGCACCAACACCGCCCGGCATTATGTAAGTTCTTAATGTGTCCATAGTATTCTTGAGTCTGTAAAAGTTTGCATCACATTTAGCTGTCTTGTAGGAGGGGGTCTTACTGCATCACACATGTGATCAGGGGACACGCTACAGGAGTTAGTTCTCGCCCTCTGCCATGGGGGTCCTGGGAATTGGCACGGTGACAAGTGCCTTTACCAATGAGCTACCTCGCTGGTCCTTATTCTTAAACTATTTACTCTGTTGCATAAGTTATACTCTTCATTCCAATTTTTTAAACTCATATGAAGTTTTAAAATTAAATAAACCAAAATTTTAGCTTTTTACTTTTTTTAAAATTATTTTTATTTTCTGTGCATTGGTGTTTTGCCAGATGTTTGTCTGTGTGAGGGTTGTCAGATCCCCTGGAACAAGAGTTACAGACAGTTGTGAGCTGCCGTGTGGGTGCTGGGAATTGAACAGTGCTCTTAGCCCCTGAGCCATCTCTCCAGCCCCTGCTTTTTACTTGTGTATTCATTCAAAATGTCTGTAATTGTGGACTCCTCGCACATGCTTGTGGTTAGCGTGGTAGCTAATGGGCAGCCCTGAAGTGTGTGGCAGGCTGGACCAGGCTCTCTTCTGTGTCAGTGCTGTGGGGGCCAGCAGCCCGCCGTCCTCACGCGCCCAACTGCAGAGTGGCCCAGCCGCTTCTCTCCCTGCCCTTGCGCCTGTCACTCTGACCTAGAGCAGCCCTCCTCAAAACCTGTACCTCGTGTCTATCCTGGGGTAGACACAGGCATCCTGCAGGCAAACTGCAGAGCAGACATTTTGCTCAGAGGAGACACTCGAAGGCGTGTTGTGTGGGGACAGCCAGCACTGCACAGCTAAGCGTGAGCAGCAGGCCCAGGCACTGAGCGCCTGTGGTGAGCCGTGGGCATCCAGCTGCAGCGCTGGAAGAGGCAGCCCCTCTGCCATGTGTACCTTTTGACTCTGCTGGCCCAGAAACTTTAAGTCAGCACTCCTAACCTCTGAGCCGCCCTCCGGCCCGCAACCCTGGTTTCTTATGCTGCTGTCTTATATTCCCTATGACTCTGTAGGTCATGCAGAGCCCTGGGGCGTCCTGCTACAGCCCTATACTCTCCAGCCTTGACTCCCACTCTTCTCTACCTCCCATCCATGTAACACAGATGCCCACATCTGTCTTCCCTTTCTGCCCCCTCCACGCTCCCATACACATGCCTTCTGCACTCGGTGCTCCGCCCCTTCGATGATGGGTAGAAAGCCACCACCAGCAGTGGCCAGTGGGTGAGAAGCAGGGCAGGTTGTGAGTGCGTCAGCAGATGTTCAGGGATGGTGGCTATCCACAAAGGGTACCCTGAAGTCTGGCAGCCCAAGCCAGCAGGGGTACGCTGTCATCATGACAGAGCCAAGTGGAGTGTGGTTTGAAGCATGCACCATAACCGCATTCTTGACATCCTGGAAAGCACAATGCAGAGCAGGGACCACATGTCGGTAAGTAACTGGCCAGAACCCAGGAAACTGGAGCCCTGAGAGGGCATGCAGCAGGCATAACTGAGACCAAGAAGGGAAGCATCTGCACAAGGGACAGCCAGACCTTCAAGGCTTTGGTTACTCACCTGAACTCCAGGTCACTCTGCCCTCCACAACATGGGGCTTTGTTATCTGCAGAGTGGCCCACCCTGGCACAGCAAACAACACTGGAGGGATTGGCTCTTGCCATAGAAAGTGGACAGCACACCATGGCATGTTGACCTACACAAAGGAGCAGTACAGCCAGCCTGGTGCCCACCCAAGAGCCAGCTCCTGCTGCCTTTCTGTACCTCCATGGCCACACTGCAGGGGATGTCACCAGAAGCAAAGGCACAGACAGGGTAACAGAGCTAAGGGAAGCCTCCAGGTAGATGTCAGGGCCCAGGTGAGCCTGGCCAGGCAGGTGGTCTGCAAGCAGGCTGCAGCGCCTTCTCTCCAGGTGCAGCGCCCACCTCCTGCATCAGCTGGGCTCAGCCAGCAGTGCGGTCTTGTGTCCTGTGTGCCCGGCTCCACCTGCCACTTCTTCTCATTGGTTCACTCCCTCTCCAAACCACTTCTGCCTTTCTCTGTCACCAGCTGAAGCGTCTCCTTGTCTGGTGGGCTGTCCTATAATCTTGTTGGTGTGGCATTATGAGGATAGCCTGGTAAATGTCTACCTTTCCTGGGAGACTGCATGCCAGATGCAGAACACCAAGGAGCCCACACCAGCCTTGCCCCCTCTGTTGAGACTGCTGCTCCACCAGCCTCGTGTTGAGCTGGCCTGCTGCAGTCTCTGGTGTGCCTCTAGCTCCCTAACCCTCATGTCCTTCTCTGAGGACTGCCCCTTCCTGTTTCCAGCCTGCCGGGGTCACCTTGGTCAGCGTCCATTCTAGCCCCAATGACCAGATGCTGTGGGCCCTGGACAGCAGATGGAATGTGCACGTGCGGACTGGGATCACTGAGGAGATGCCTGTGGGGACAGACTGGGAACATGTGCCAGGTAGGGACAATCCAACAGACATCCCATTGTCCCCCACACAGCTACAGTTGTATTTATCACCACAGCCCATGGTGCCAGGCAAGACAGGAACTGAAATTCATGTGGGGCTGTTTAACTTGAGGCCTTGAGCCCCATTTTCTGTAAAAACAAACTGTCACCAGGGGCCACATGGAAGTCCTAGGTATCCTGTTGGGTCTGAGATGTTCTGAAGTAGGAGCCAGGTAAAGATCGGAAGGGCATGTATTGCTGGGAGAACCCAGGCCAGCTCTGCGGATTTTATGGAAATACAGCTTCCTCAGTGCCCAGACCCATCTGTGACTAGGCTAGCCTGCTTGGGCACCCTCTCCCTTGGTGCCCAGAACCAGACAGTGTCACCATTCGCAAGTCCTGGTGACCAATGCAGTGTCGGAAGAGAGCAGTACTAGGAAGGGTGCTCTGTCCTGTGTGTTCCAGAAATCAGCTGATACCCAGTTTGCCCACAGGGTTACAGGCCTGCCAGTTGGCATTGAGCACCAGGACTGTGTGGGCCCGCTGTCCAAATGGTGACCTTGCCCGCCGCTATGGCATCACAGACAAGAATGCTGCTGGGGACTACTGGAAGAAAATTCCCGGAAGTGTGTCATGTCTCACAGGCAGGTGCTGGGGCCTGGTGGACTCGGTGTATCCTAGGGGAGGAGGGGCATGTGTGAAGAATCTACCAGAGCCAAGGTCAAGGCCTACCTGTGGGAGGGCTAGACACGGGTCCTGGGAGTCACCTGACAGGAACAGGATGTTGCACTGCTTGGAAGAAACTGCTGGTGTAGCTGCTTACACTTGTGATCCCAGCACTTGAAAGGCTAAGGGGGTAGATTGTCGTGAGTTCCAGGCCAATCTGGACTACAATGTGAGTCTCAAAAAAACCTGAAAAATTAAATTGAGAGAACAAAGTAGAAGTTGAGGAAATGAGTGGCTCTTCCTTCTCCCCGAGCCAGAATGTCACAAGTCCAGACTGGACCCAGGGCCCTACCCACCACCTACGCCCTTTGTCTCACACCACGCGGCTGACAAGACTGTGATTGGCTGTTATCTTTGCAGTGACCTCATCAGACGAGCTGTGGGCAGTGGGCTCCCCTGGCTGTCTCCTCCAGCGACTGACAAAGACGTTCAGCCATTCACACAATACCCCAAAGAACAGCCAGGCAGCAGCCACCTTCCACCCTGAGGACCTGGAGGATGAGTGGGAGGTCATCTGAAGGAGCCCCAGGCAGCCAGTCAGGGAGGAAACTGAGGCTCTGTGATGGATGCTGATGTTTCCTAGTGGCTCACTTACGGACATGCCTCATCCACCAGGCTGGATACCCCACACTTGCTTTCCTCTGTATTTGTTTCCGTCTCATTCCAGAACTCACAGCCTCAGCCATGTGCCCGGCCGGAGCTGTCACTGTAGCAGCAGCACCTTTGACATCCTGCCAAGGTCACCTCCAAGTGGGAGCAGTGGCTGCTGCTGCTCAGTTGCATGCACTTGTTACCTGTGCACCACAGTAAATTCTCTTCAGCAAAACAGATCCTGGTGTGTGGGCCGACAGGGACACCGCCATAGGCAGATGAGTCAAAGCCAGGAAGAGTCAGGCACGTGTCCATACCAGCACCCCAGGCCAAACAGGCCTGCCGGTCATTGCTCGCAGCCATTGGATGTGTTTGGTGACGGCGTTGACTTCATCATAGAGTCCCTCACATCTCTCTGAGAGGTACAGGCCACAGTGGACGTCCCACACTAGACACTCCAGGTGGGAAAGTGCCATCCAGGGGGGAGGCTGGACTGTGCAGGGAACACACGCACACATCCTTGCCTCCTCATGTTGCCCACACTCAGGGTAGCTGCCCACGTCAGCCAACACAACAGGCAGCTGGTCAGACAGAGCACAGAGGTGCCCACGTGGTCCATTTCGTCCAGCACAGGGTGCTGGTCAGATACAGTGCGGGAGAGGCGGAAGCAGTCTAGAGACATCTTTGGAAAGACATCTGACTAGTGTGCTGCTGGGCACCCTGAAGCCAGGCACTTCCTCAGATGATGGTCTAGTAAATGGCCTTTTCATTTGCTGTGTTACAAGCCTGAATAAGATACCTCATTTTAGATGAAATCTCCCAATTCAGAAGATAAATGTATCTTCTGAAAACAGTGAAGGTCTTTTGTTCCTTCAGGAGGCTTATCCTAAGCCCACCTTATCTTAGTTAGAGTTTGCAGGGGTGGCATCCGATCATGTCCTCAGCCCAAGAGCAGCCAGTGTCCTCAGGGGACGCAGCATTGACTCCCCAGCAGCTGGGAAGAAAGAGTGCCTCCTGCTCACAGTTGCCATGCCTGTCACCATGCCGGGACAGCGGCGCTCTCTCCTCGGGCCCAGGGCAGGCTGCCCTACCTAGGAGGTCCCTGTCACTGCTCCACACTGGCTGCTTTTTTTAATCCCCCTGGTCCAGGCGGTCACTTGATGTCTGTTTTCTACTGCGCATGTGTCAGGACCCTCAGTCCCCGGTGAAAGGCCCCAGCAGTCACGAAGCAGAGGCCCCAGGTCTCAGCAATGGTGAGCTGCTGAGACCTGACTGCACTTTTTTGTTTGTTTGTTTGTTTTTCGAGACAGGGTTTCTCTGTGTAGCCTTGTGTCTGTCCTGGATCTCACTCTGTAGCCCAGGCTGGCCTCGAACTCACAGAGATCCGCCTGGCTCTCCCTCCCAAGTGCTGGGATTAAAGGCGTGAGCCACCAACGCCCGGCGACTGCACTTCATTTTATACACTCCTTTTTGTAAAAGTTCAGTGGCAGCCCCAGCTTGGCTGCACCCCTTCTGTGAATGGTGTGCCTTGCCCGGCTCCCCACAATGGCAGCGCTCCCCAAGCCCACGGGGACGATACTACAGTTAAACCCAAGTTAAGCAGACACCTCAAAACTACTTTGAGCTTCAGTGCTTTGTATGATTTTCTTTTGGTTTTATATTTTAGTTGTACTTTGAGATCATGCAAAATGTTAGACTTTTTCCGAACGTTGACTCTGATGACTGAGCTGAGAGGCCTGCAGCGGACGTCTCCTGCTGGCCTGCAGCAAGCCCACCAGCCCAGCCACACTGAAGCAGAGAGAACACCATTGCCTGGTCTGGGACCTGGATGGTGTTGAGCCAGCTTCCCAGGGTGGGATAGTGAGCAGTAGCCACTCCACAGATGTACACACCCTCTGGCAGCCCTGGAGAGAATGCCCCAAAGAAGGCAGAATGAAGGGCTGTCCCAAGACATTCATTAGGCTTTCGTTGTTTTGAGACAGTCTTATGTAGCCCAGGCTAGCCTCTAATTCACCATGTAAGCTAGCCAAGGATGGCTTCTTCTGATCCTCCTTTCAAGTTCTAGGATTACAGGTGTGCACCACCATGTCCTTCTAAGATGTCTATGAGTATAGCTCACTTTCAGAATCCCCACTGGGATGTTTCTCTTAGACAGAGGAACTCTTAAAATCATGACAGTACCCACATACACCCCCAGATTACTGCTCAGGTCTCCTGGCTTCATGTGCCCTCTCTAGAGCCCAGGAAGGAGAAGATGGCTAGTCAGTGAGCCTAGCCTGGCGAGTCTGCTGACCTGTGCTGATGCCACAGACTCCTGGAGTCAAGCCCCACAAGGGCCAGCGTGCCACGTACAATCCAGACCATGGCTGGGCCCTCCCTCGGCAGCCAGGCAGCACCCTAGGGTATCACACACAGCATTCCATAGGCATTGCCGTGGGAGGAAACAACTGTACAGCTGCTGTGCCTGCTGTTTCCAGTTAGCACGGAAAACCTGCCTTTGCCCTCTGGGGGGCAAGTGCTTTGTACACCCACATGATGGGACAGCCACAGAAAACCAGGTGGAGGTTTTTACTATTCAAAACGTCGAGCCTGTGAGTCAGAAATCCATGTGGGGCTGGAGATGTGGCTTAGTGGTGACGGACCTAGCATGCACACCGCACCACAGGCCAAAAGCCCTACCTGGGCCCAGAGCATGCCTGCAATCCCAGCACTCAGGAAGCTGAGGCAGGATTGCCACAAGTTCCAGACCAGCCTGAACCACATAGTAAGAGCCTGTCTCAAAAACACTACATTCACAAGTAAACAAACTGAGAAGGAGACAATGACTGCATAAGTGTGGCGCCCACGTTGAACATTCACTGTAGGAACTTGTCCAGACGAGCAGGAACAAACAGGACAGAGATGGCAGAGGAGGTGAGGAGCACTTCAATGAAGGAGACCCCAAAGACAGCCCTCTGGGAGAGCCTCCGATGGAGCTTGGGTCCAAACGTCTCACACTTCTGCCACCTCTGAAGATGTATCTAGAGTAAAGCCAGAGCTGGGGTATGTGTGTACAGCACAGTGATCCAGCACCGGCCTAGCATGCTGCTGTCCCTGGGTTCAGTTCTCAGAAGGGCAACAAAGGATTAAACAGAGGGAAGGCACCCCGGGAGTATGCCAGCAGGGCATACTGTGGGGCCCCACAGGGGATCTTACAGCAGCTCTCCTGACCTGTCACTTACACACCTACAGCGTGGTTTACAGATGGAGGAGGAGGACTCTGGTGGTGGGGGCGGGTGTTTGTGCCTCACCCTTCAGGAGGGCAGAGACAAGTTCTCCTTGGGACAAGCAGTGAGCAGTGATTGTCTCCAGTTTGTGTCTTTTTATCCTTTGAATGTTGAGCCATGTAAATGTATTATTTATTTCAAAACTAAATAAAATTTACATTTTAGAAACTCAGTTCTCCTAATTTTGCAGTATTAACAGCACTTGAGTCAAATATCACAAAATCAACACCAAACACATTTTAAAAATTCTTTTCAGCCAGGCAGACACGCCTTTAATCCCAGCGCTTGGGAGGCAGAGGCAAGTGGAGCTCTGTGAGTTTGAGACCAGCCTGGGCCAGAGTGAGTTCCCTGACTGCCAGGACTGTTACACAGAGAAACCCTGTCTCAAAAAAATATAATAATAAATAAAATAAAAATTATTTTCATAAAATACTGGGAAATGCTTATACAACTGTGATTTTTTTTAATGATTTGTTTTTATGTGAATTGGTGTTTTGCCTGCATTTATTTCTGTGAGAGTGCCAGATCCCCTGGAACTGAAGTGAGACAGGTGTGAGCTGTCATGTGGGTGCTGGGAACTGAACCCCAGTCTTCTGGAAGAGCAGCCTGTGATCTTAACTGCTGAACCATTTATCCAGTCCCTACCATGGTGATCTTAAAAATACTGAATCATGGGGGATGGCTCAGTGTAGAACACTGGCTTAGTGTGGTTCTACCTCCCCAGCATTGCCCATCCCCCCAAAAAAAACTAAGAACACACCAAGATGCTTGGCACTGCTGGGCAGGCAGCTAGCAGCGAGCAGTGTGACCAATGTCTCCTGCAGGAGCCTCGCCATGCTCAGGTCTGGACTTGCCCCCACAATCCCATGTTCCCTGCTGGACTCTATTTATTTGTGTTTTTGTTCATGTGTGTGTGTGGATGTGCATGCCATAGCTCAAGTTAGAGAACAACTTTGTGGAGTCAGGCCTGTCCTTCCCGCTTTAGGTTCCGGGGATTGAACTCAGGAGTCCAGGCTCGGATGGCAAGCCCCTTTACCCACTGAGCCATCTCGACAGCCCTGGAATTTTTTTTTTTTTCACTACAGCAATATTTATAGTAATTAAAAAGCAAAAACAAATCAAAAGCCCACAAACTAATAAACGAATAAAATGTGGCATATTCATATAATAGAGTATTATTTATCTATACAAAAGAATGAAATATTTCTACAGATACAATGTACATAAATGTTAGAAATGCCTTGCTTAGTGAAGTAAGTCATAAAAGGCCACCCATCATGGTTCTGTTTCCATCAACACTTCACCTTAGGTAAATGGAGTCAGAAGAAGAGAACACTCCACGGCTGGAGAGGAGGAAAAGGGAATAACTGCTCTCGGGTACAAAGTTCTTTTGGACAGTGGATATGTTCCAGACTTGATGGTGATGGTTCCAAACCTTGTAAATACACAATTATGCACTTCAATGGATGAATTTTAACTTAAAAAGTCAATCAGTGTAGGGGCCAGCAAGATAGTTTGCTGGGAAAGGCATTTGTTGCTATGGCTGATGACCTGAGTTTAATCCCTGGGACCCAAATGGTAGGGGGAGAAAATGGACTCTCCCACGTGGTCCTCTGACCTGTACACAAGTGCCACAGCACACGTGTGCCTACAAACACACTACACACATACATACACATATACACACACACACACACACACACACACACACAGAGAGATAGAGACAGAGCAGAGGAGAGAGGAGACTAAATTAGAAATTAATAAGGTCAATCAATATGCTCAGTAGTCTAAAGAGGAAGCCATATATATCAATTGATATAGGAAAAAAGAGAAAAAAATTAAATGTCTAGATTTCACTGGAGGTAGAGATTCCTACTCCCCCGTGGCTGGGACAGTGGTTACACCCATGCAGACATTGGTAATTACTCACCAAGTTAAAAATTAATGCCTTTGTGCTTTATCATGCAGAAGTCAAATCTCGGGTTTTTATAGTCAGAGCCAGTCAGCAAAGGAGTTTGGGGGACACCAATACCAATTACTGTTTGCTTCTCTGAAACACAGGGTCAGGAGTAGCCTAGAACTCATGCAGCCTAGGCTGACCTTGGTAATTTTCTTGAGACAGTCTCACATAGCCAAAGCTAGCTTCAAACTGGCTACATAGAGAAGGATAACCTTGAACTCACTGTTTGCCTTCACCCTGTGAGTGCTGGGAATACAGGTGTGCACCACCATGCCCAGCTTTATTTGGTGCTGGCGATCAAACCCAGGGCTTTGTAGGTGCTAAGCAAGTACTCTACCCTCTGAACTATATTCTGAGATCAACTTTTTTCCTAAGATTTATTGTATGTGCATGAGTGCTCTGCCCCCATGTAGGTCTGCGCGCCCCACGCATGCCTGGTGGCCAAGGTGGTCAGAAGAGGGTATCAGATCCCCTGGAAATGGAGTTACAGACTTCTTAAGCTGTCAGGTGGGTGCTGGGAACTCAACCTGGGGCTGGGAGAGCAGCCAGTGCTCTTAAGCTCTGAACCATCCCTCCAGCCCCTGGTCATGAACTCTTGATCCTCTGTGCTGGCATCAAAGTCAAGCATTACTATGGTAGTCTGGAGTTACCGGAAAGGGCTCCAGCATGGTGGAGCCTTTGAGAGCCTGTGTGCTTCCTCCCCGCCTCCTGGGAACCACCTTGTAATGGTAATGTACAGAACTGCTGCCCATGCCGAGACCGGTGGCGATATGAAGGCAAGGTTAAAGCAGATGGAGTCAGTGTGAAGACAGACACAAGCCGAGGGTGGAGGTGGCAGCAGGTCACACCAGCTCAGACTGCCCTTCCAAGGCCAAGTGAGGCACTCAGCAATGAACCTCACCGTGGCTCAGTTCCACTGTCCTTCCCAATAGGCCTCAGGGACCAGAAATTCTGGCTCCTGAACTGTTTAACTGGGGTGCGGTACAGATCTCCTGGGGACACATTTGACATTTGATGGGGGCAGGATACACTGGTGAAATCCATGAAGTGAACAAAGGAACCAAGAGAAGAGACTTGATTGTGTGTTCTGGAGCCACCAAGGTCACCTACCACTAGCTGATAGCGAGTCAGCACCGGGCCTGGCAGGCTCTAGTCCCCCTCCAGATCTGCTCAGTACTGCAAGCTCATGACCCGGGTAGTAATACATCAGGTGACTACACAGCCCTTCCTGGGGCTGGGGGGCCTAGGGGACAGATAAGCCACACACTGAGGCCACCCACCCTTCCTCTCTCAGAAACTACCACACGATAAGTGAGGCCTTGCTTATCAGCCGGGCACCACCTCTCCAGGCCCTCTGCTTCCTGAAGGGCAGGCAGGACAGTAGAGATCTGTGGCAGGAATCAGGCCTTCCTCTGAGGAGGCTGGCTAGGCTTCCCCACCTCTCTGGGCCTGCTCCCTTCCATCTCCCAGGAGTGAGACCCCACCCAAATCAGTGTCCGAAGTGAGTCTTCCTCTGCCTTTGTATCCATCCAAGACACCGGCTGGGGACCAATCAGCAATGGTGACTACCATGACACTGACGTGCTTGTCACCGTGAGCCCATCCACCCCTCTTGGGCCTGGTCCTCACCCTATGATGCCAATTCCTCCCACAAGGTCCCGCCCTGCCTCCTCCCTGATGGCCACCATAAGGCCTAAGTAGTACAGTACGCCTCCTCCAGGCCAGGCAGCTCCAGGGAGGCTGGCAACAAGGCAGCAGGCTGTCTACCTGAAGGAGACGAAAGCACCTAGCCCTCACCAGCAGACCCCAAGTCAACATTCTCAACAGGAGCCCAGCCTTCTAGGCTCTCCCAGGAGCTACCGCAAGCCATTGTTCATCTCCTGCAAATAAAAAAATATCACAACCAATGGCATCCTTAACCTGGACCCGGGGCCTCCTGGAAGTCCAGGGAGACTAACCCTGAATGGGTCAAACTTGGGGCTGGGGAGTTCGTAAGCATCCATCACCCACAACTGCCAGGACTCCGAGAAGCGACCTAGGCAGAAGGCAAGGAGACCCTCCGATCTAGATGTAGGATCGGTACTAGCTGGTAACCTCTTGTCCCACTTTCTGGAATTTGGGGGGGGTGAGGGAGAGGTCACATTTTCAGGCCTGGGGAATGGCCTAAAATCTCCTGGCAGTGGGGCCCAGCACAGAGGCGGCAAGGTCTGGGGCCCTCCCTGCTCCCCACCCTTACTCCTGTGGCCCAGCAGCCTGCACTCGTCCACCCCCAGCCATGCTGTACTCGGGAGCTCTGAGCAGCAGGTGCCACAGCCAGACTGGCCACTTCAGCAGACTGCCGGCTTCTGCTCCTGGCAGCACATCATGGCCCACAAGCCCATGCCACAAAGGTTGAATTTCGCAGCCCAGCAAAATCCCCGGGCAGGGTGATCCGGCCCTCCTCCCCAGTCTTGACGTTCCTCCGGGGTGTGAACCCAGCTCTGCAGCCGGGGTGCCTTTATCCTGAAAGACGGGGCACTCATTAACAAGCCTCCAGTCTGCACGAGTTTCCAGCAGAAACCAGCTCTCCAGGCTGGGCAAGAAGCTTGCCCAGGGTGATAACACCCAGCCCTGAGGCCCATGAGCACCATGTGACACCCACTGTGAGTGGGTGAGGAGCCTATCCCTGTGGCTGGGCAGGAGGCCTGGAAAACACCCCTGGTCCTGATGAGGAGACATGATGCAGGGAACTCAAAGCCTGTGATGAAGCAGGTGCAGCCGCAGAGCTGAGCACAGAGGCCCAGGGCTAGCACTTGCCAATCCTGACTGAGGGCAAAAGGGGATGCTGGGCCAATTGCAGGCCTGGGTGGGGAAACCTATGATTCAGTGTGAGCTGCTACAAACCCACAGACTGGCTCCTACCTCTCACCTCCTGTCACAGCTGCCCGCTCAGCCCTTCTTGTCCTCTTGGACACAGGATCAAGTCCAACTCCACGGGCCATTTATGAGGCTGAGCGCACAGGACCGGTGACAACGGCACAGGCCTGGCCTCAGCACATTCTGTCCCCGCCCTCTGTTCCTGCTCCTCTCCTGCTTGGGTCAGCTGTCACCTCCCCGGGACTCCAGGTCCTCACCCATATCCTCAGCTGAGCAGAGAGCTAGTAGTGTGCACTTGAGTGGGAGTGTGGCGAGCCAAGGCTCTTGGAGAGCCTGCCCGACTTGGCAGCCC